GGTCAGTGCCTGTACATGTACAGTACAGTACTCCCATACCTATTTTTTCCATTTTCAAGAAATACATGATATTGCGTATCCAGGATTTACATGATGGGGGTAGAGAGGATTTCCATGACAAGAGAATCCTTCTGCGTGCAATTAAAGAGACAAAGGCAATGACATTAATTTGAGTATTTGTTATGTTATCTTCTGCTGACCTTCCAAAGATGGCTATATGAGGAGATGGCGAAATTTGAGTTTGCGTTATTTCAGAAACTACCTCAAAAAATGACTCTCAAAACCTGAATAATTTGGGACATATCCAGAACATGTGTGTTAGATCACATGGGGAAAGTGAACATCTACCACATTTATCTTCTATCGCATCTGGGTAGATTCTGGATAGCTTGGCTTTGCTGTAGTGGACTCTTTGGAGCACCTTGAATTGGATGAGGCTGAGTCGCGCACAGGAGGAGGATGAGTTAACAGCCTCTAAAGCTTGTTTCCAGAATTGATCAGAGAAGGTAGTCTGCAGTTCGTTCTCCCAATCTGTTCTAATTTTTTCTATGAGTGATTCATTGGTTGGCTGTGAAAGGTCGTAAAGGTAAGAGATATGGCCCCTGACCAACGTGTCAGCCATGACTATGTAATCTGTGCCGATGGTTGATGGAATCTGAGGAAATGTAGAGGAGTGAGTCCTTGCAAAGTCCCGTAATTGAAAGTATCGGAAAAAGTCTGCAGTATTTAGCTGAAAAGTGGTGCGCAATTGGTGAAAGCTAGCAAACCATCCATTCACATACAAATCCTTCAAGCACCGAAGGCCTTTTCTAGCAAGGATCATAAACCTGGGATCAGTTCTAGCTGGCAAGAAAAGATGATTATTACAAATGGGAGTTTGCTCGTGGAATAGTGAACCAATTGAAATGCTTCCTTATTTGTGCCCATATCTTCAAGGTGGCAGTAACAATGGGATTGGTTGTGAATTGTGACGAGGAGAAGGGCAGAGTGCCACATGCCAGAGCCTGGGGTGAAGAGGAGACACACAAGTTTATCTCAAGTTCACACCAGCCAGTCTGCGGAGAAGTAAACCAGAACAGAAGCTTATGCATGTTTGCAGCCCAATAGTAACCCAGTAGGTTTGGCAAGCCAAGTCCGCCTGATGATCTACTCCGTTGCAGATAAGCTTTGCCAATTCTCGGGTTCTTACCTGCCCATATGAATGTGGAGATGATTGAATCTATGGATTTGAAAAAGGATCTGGGTAAGAAAAAGGGAATGCATTGAAAAAGGTATGAATACCTGGGTAGTATGTTCGGACTAAGGATATGGGGTCAGTGCCTGGGGACCACATACATTTGTACCCTCCCTGCTGGAGAGAGAGAGGCAAGTGACTCCACTTCTGTAGGTCAGATTTAATTTTGTTTGTTAGAGATGTAAAATTTTGCTCACGTAGTGAATGAATGGAACGTGTAATAGAGATACCTAAGTATTTAAACCCTGATTTGGAGAGCCGAAATGGGATTGACGATGGTGCTATTTACAGTGCTAATTGGTTAACTGGAAAGCATTTGCTTTTTTGAATATTTAATCTGTACCAAGAATGTACCAAACGAGTTTAAGATTGACAGGATGTGAGGGATGCTAGACAGTGGATTATGCACATATAAGAAGAGGTTGTCAGTGTACAACAAGGTTTTATGTTCTGTTCCCCACCGTTGGATACCTAGAAATTGTGTGTCTGTCTTCAGCGCTATTGAAAGCGGCTCGATGGCGATAGCAAATAGGAGCAGGGAAAGTGGACACCCTTGACGTGTTCCACAAGAAAGGGGAAAAGGTTTGGACGGAGGATGTTCGTGCACACTGATGCTTGAGGGGATGTATTGAGCAATCGAAACCATGAGAATAAAGTCGTCTCCAAACTTATGTAATGAAGAGAGTAGATAGGCCCACTCCACTCTATCAAAGGCCTTCTCGGCATCAAGAGATATAACTACCTCCAGTGCAGAGGGAGAAGGTGGAGTGTGGATGATGCCGAGAAGCCTTTGAATATTGGTGAATGAGTGCCGCTGTCTAATGAATCCTGTCTGATTGTGCTGAGAGTGTCTGTGTTATTATGGATCTGACTGATGTGATTTGAAGCAGTCCTAGCCTTCAATTGATATGCCAGGAGACGGCCAGCTTTATCCCCAGACTCATATGTGAGTCTGAGGTGTCTCTGGAACAAAACAGAACTTGTTCGGCCTCTCTAGTTGTCAAAAGATCAAGCTCTGTTTTAAGTTTCAGCCTGTCCTTATAAAGACCAGGTGACTGATTGGCAGAGTACTGACTGTCTAATTTGTCGATAGAGTCTTCCAATTCTTTTTGTCGTGCCTTACGACATTTGTTTGCGTGAGACATGTATGAAATACTTTTGCCTCTGATAAATCCCTTCAGAGTTTCCCACAGCAAGGAAGGAGAAGTGTCTTCTGTTCTATTTGTCTCCAAAAAGAAGTCAATGGCTTCAGAAATATATGTGCAAAACTTAGCATCCGCTAATAATAAGGGGTCCAAATGCCAGTGTCTGAAATCTTTGGGTTTGAGATCAAAGTGAAGATTGAGAATAACTGTTGAATGGTCTGACACAGCTATTGGCAAATATTGCGTGGAGACTACTGAAGAGGTAAGAGCTTTATCAATAAAAAAATAATCTATACGTGGGTAAGTCCGATGTACATGCGAGAAAAAGGAATATTGTTTTATAGAGGGGTATAGAAATCTCCAAGGATCTATATACCCATATTGCTCCATGAAGGCAGAGAGAGTCTGAGACATTTTAGAGGGTGTTGTAGCCTTAGAACTAGACCTATCAAGCAGAGGGTCAATAACGCAGTTCATGTCTCCTCCGAAGTTTAGATATTCTGTTAGAATATCCACCCTACTGCCCATGTCCATTTTGTTGTCCTGTGGCTCCAGTAGTACAGTCTAGTCTGTTCATTCAAAACAGTCCCTGAGAGACTCACTGGTCTGCGGGGGCCACTTTCTGACTGAGTGGGTGGTAACAGACAACTTTAATACACAGGGTTTGTATGTAGGCTGGAGAGAGACCAGATTATGGTCTAGTCTGCCAAGAGGTGGTAGGGCAGAGACACGGTAAGGGTCCTTGGCATTTCCATGAAAACAGTGTCTTATTCTCCCTGGTGGGACAGTCCATATACTAAACAAACCCAGAGAGATGGGAGGAGAGAGCAGTGTTATTAAAATCCCCTGTTATTGCAATGAATGCACTCGGATGCTGGGTCTGAATCCTAGCAACAGTTTCATGGATGACGTCACACGCCGCTGCCGTTGCTGCTCGCAGTGGAATGTAAACAATAATGGTGACAATGTGCGAATACTCCGAGGCACATAATATCGTCTATGACCGACTGCCAACAGTTCAGTGTCCTGACAGCAGATCTTATCCTTCACCATGATATGTCCAGGATGACACCATTTATTGGTCACAAGCAGGATCAGTCCCCCACCTCTGTTTTTGCGGCTCGCCTTCGCGTCCCTGTCCGCTCACTCAGTAGAGAAGCCCATTAGGTTCACACAGCTGTACGTTGTCATTCAGCCACGTCTCCGTGAAGCACATCAGAGTACACTCCCTGTAGTATCGTCGGCTCCACACCATTGCCAGCAGTTCATCACACTTGTTGGATCCATCCATCTTCTAACCGCTTCATCCTCTTGAGGGTTGCGGGGAGGCTGGAGCCTATCCCAGCTGACATTGGGCGAAAGGCAGGGTACACCCTGGACAGGTCGCCAGACTATCGCAGGGCTGACACAAGGAGAAAGACAACCATTCATGCTCACATTCACACCTACAGACAGTTTAGAGTCACCAATTAACCTAATCCCCAAACTGCATGTCTTTGGACTGTGGGAGGAAGCCAGAGTGCCCGGAGAGAACCCATGCTGACACGGAGAGAACATGCAAACTCCGCACAGAGGGGCTCCTACACCCGAGATCGAACCGGGAGCCCTCTTGCTGTGAGGCAACAGTGCTTGTATCTCCACCTCCTAGCCTTTGGCTTCGCTCCTGCTCTGCAGCCTCGAAACGGCTTCCTCAGCTTGGCCGGTATCGGGTGTCTAACTCCGTAAGTCATTCCTCTCAGAGCCAGAAAATCACACTCAGAATGACTTAAAAAACAGGAGCGACTTAGACTTGCTGCCACTCTAACTGGCGCATCATTGATATAGTGTAGATATTATTTTTCTGTTTCTTTGATTTGTATGGTTCTAATTATTCCATTTTCATCCAAATTTACAGTATACTTTATCTCTCTGTCACAGAAGTCTCATAGTTGCAAATATCTGAAGTGGTCCTACATAATGCATAATTTTGTTTCAGTCCATCTTTTATTATTGTACATGGCACTGTTATGCCACATCGAATCCTTTGTTTGAACCTTTGGTCGAGAGTACCTGGGATAAAATGCCTGCCATAGGTTATCCATTGTAGTTTAAGTTCCTTCTTGAATCCATATTTTGTATACTAGGTTGAACCACAATTCCAACATAAATCAAGTGACAGCATCTACCTGCTGAAGTACATCCTTTACTATATCTCTGTCTCCTGTAAAGCTTTGAATTTCCCTTCTCTCTACATATTGTTCTAAATTTCACCATTTTGCTTCATAGTCCCTAGCACATCAATAAATAAAAAATACTGGTCTTACTTTTGCTGCATGAAAGTAGTAAGGTTTGGCAATGCCATACCCCTCTCTACATCTCCCAAAACTGTAATATTTCAAATTTGACCCTTGGTCTTTGTCCATTCCAGACAAGCCATGAAATAACTTTTTCCTGAGACTGAAATTGTTTCTCACAGATATCTATTAGTGGTGACTGAAATATATAAAGGTGTCTCAGAAGTGTATTCATTTTTATAGTATCTATTCTTTCCTTGACTCTGTTAGTCCTTTTCTCTATGTCTTGTTGTCTTTACACTATGCTTCCCATCTGTAATTGTTCCTAATGTGACTGTGTTGTTTCAGAGCCCTGGAGACTAACAAATACAACCACATCACAGCCACATACTACCTACTAGCGGAGAGGATCCTAAGGGAGAAGCAGGAAAAAGAGGTCCAGACTCGCTCCTCCAGCCCCAGCAACATCAAGGCTCACTTCAGGTAAAGAACAAACTCTGCTTAAGGCCATCTTTCTCATGCTGTGACCTGTGCACAACTCTGGATTATTTTTTAGAGCTAGCTACTTAAATAGTGCAACCAAGAAAAATCAGTGCTCATCATCATAATGACTATCTGAGTCATGGTTTGAGCCGAGAAGAGGGTAATTGACCTATCAAGCTCTGCTGCCTTACACTGCAGCCTGTCTGGCCCCCCTTGGCAGAGCCCAGCCATAGCTGATTAAGACTGGGTTAGATCTGAAAAGGTTTATTTTTTCATTTCTGGGTTCACTGGGCCTCCACCTGCTGCGCTCAGGGAACGTGGAACTGAGGACACGGGAAAGAAAAAAGTTCACAATATTTCAATTCTCTGTTTTGCTATCATTATTCTGTCTCACTGTATTGTTTGACATTAGTCCCATGCACTGGTTAAGTAAGTGAGGAGAGACTTCAGTCAGTCATTATAATGGTAAAATCTAAGAAAATACATCGTAGTTATCCCTTTAGCTGTCCAAGTATTTCTTTTTTGCTTCCCTGCCAACCTTGTTCATCTTTAAAGGAAGAGGAGAGTTGGATGCTGTACAGTTGTAAAAGGAAGAGCAACAGAGGAGAAGAACAAATAAGGAAGAGAGGAGTGGGGAGGCTTCAGCAGGAACTGGCACACACTGGCACAACTCTCTCCACATTCCTCTTCCTGCTCTACAGAGGGTGCCTTAAGTTGAAGAAATCCTTTTAATAAACCAATCTGAAGTATGAAGGCAACAGTTTTTCATTATCATGGTTATTTTTTTTCCCATATCTTTGTTCTTGAAATCATTCAAGAATAGAAGGGCTTGAGGGTTAAGATTTGAAGAGTAAACACAGGTAAGAGGAAATATGACTCATCACATTTTCCAGTGCTGCCTACAGAAAGTAAGTACATAGCAACAGTGACCTGCACAAACACTGTATATAACCGTGTTGAGCTGATAGTAGGAAACAAGTGTTGTGCACTCTGGCTCCATATTCATTTCTCTTTTATTCAGATAGATGACGCCTTTGAGAAGGCCATACCCGAGTCACACAGCTGATGGTGAAGAGATAAACAATTTTGAGGCCTTCTACATGCATCTCTTTAATAGATACAAAGCAAAAGTTAAGACAGCAGTTGTAGTCATAGTCTGTATTCAATCCATGGGGTGACAGGGTTGTCGGACAGTGGATCCAGTTGTGTTCCCTCCTGGAAAGTGTTGAGCTGATGACCATAGACCTCTATGGTGGGAGTCTGTGTCATTTTGTCTTTGTTCCCTCCTCCATGTCTAAACATGGAGGGGTATGATATGATGGTGCTTCTTTAAAGTCAGTTGTAGAGCCTTGTGTTGCTGAACTCTACTGACATGAATCTTGAGCCTCCTGTGCACAAAATAATGACTAATGTGTTTTAAGGGAGTACTCTGCTAATGGGCCCTGACCAACGTAGGGCCCAGGGGCTGTTCCTCTGCCAGGCCCTCTTCACATGCACACACATAGCCACAGGTGAACTAATCAATCAATCAATCAATCAATCAGTCAATCAGTCAATCAATTTTATTTATAAAGCCCAATATCATAAATCACAATTTGCCTCACAGGGCTTTACAGCATACGACATCCCTCTGTCCTTAGGACCCCCGCAACGGATAAGGAAAAACTACCCCCAAAAAAACCCTTTAACGGGGGAAAAAATGGTAGAAACCTCAGGAAGAGCAACTGAGGAGGGATCCCTCTTCCAGGACGGACAGACGTGCAATAGATGTCGTACAGAACAGATCAACATAATAAATTAACAGTAATCCGTATGACACAATGAGACAGTGAGAGAGACAGAGAGAGAGACAGAGACAGAGAGAGATGCAGGACAGACAGTAACGATAATAGCTTACAGCAACATTAATGCAAGTAATAATATTATAATTATAATTCCAGCTATTGTGGTACAATATGTTGAAAGTATATATTAATATCTGATAGTATGCATATGTGACAATAATCATATATGTATTATAACAGTAGAAGTATGACTAATGACTAATGATGATAGCAGCAGCAGGAGGCATCTGGCAGGACCACGGCAGCAGCACAACCACACATGTCACACTATCCAGACACCGCTGCAATACGAGTTAACCTGAGAGACAGTGGAGCACAAAGGCTCCGGAGAAGAAGACGAGTTAGTGACATGCAGTACGGCCGAGTTAGCAAGATGCAGTAACAGGACATGAGAGAGAGAGAAGGAGAGAAGGTGCCCTGTGTATTATAGGAGGTCCCCCGGCAGACTAGGCCTAAGTCAGCCTAACTAGGGGCTGGTACAAGGCAAGCCTGAGCCGGCCCTAACTATAAGCTTCATCAAAGAGGAAAATCTTAAGTCTAGTCTTAAATGTGGAGACGGTGTCTGCCTCCCGGACCGAAACAGGAAGATGATTCCACAGGAGAGGAGCCTGATAGCTGAAGGCTCTGGCTCCTGATCTACTTTTGGAGACTTTGGGGACCATGAGTAACCCTGCATTCTCAGAGTGCAGTGTTCTGGTGGGATAATATGGCACTATGAGCTCTCTAAGATATGACGGAGCCTGAACATTTAAAGCTTTATAAGTTAACAGTAAGATTTTAAATTCAATTCTGGATTTTACAGGGAGCCAGTGCAGAGAAGCTAAAACAGGAGAAATATGATTTTGTTCCTGTTAGTACACGTGCCGCTGCATTCTGAATTAGCTGGAGAGTTTTTAAAGACTCTCCAGCACACCACACTAAGATCTTATTAGAGCTACCTGATAATAGGGAGTTACAGTAATCCAGCCTAGAGGTAACAAAAGTGTGGACCAATTTTTTTGCATCTTTTCGGGTCAGGGTAGGCCTAATTTTCACAGTATTACGCAGATGAAAAATGCAGTCTGTAAGGTTTGTTTTAAATGAGAATTAAAAGACAAATCTTGATCAAATATTACTCCGAGGTTTCTCACGGTAGTGCTAGAGGCCAGTGCAATGCCATCTAGAGAAATTATATCATCAGATAAAGAGTCTCTGAGTTATTTGGGGCCAAGAACAATAACTATAGTTTTGTCTGAATTTAACGTAAGGAAATTGGTGCTCATCCAAGTTTTTATGTCTTTAAGCAGTTATGAAGTTTAGTTAATTAATCAGTTTCTTCTGGCTTCACGATAAATACAATTGTGTATCATCCGCATAACAATGGAAATTTACAGAGTGATTTCTAATGATGTTACCTAAAGGAAGCATATATAGAGTGAATAGGATTGGTCCGAGCACAGAACCTTGTGGAACTCCAAATCAAACTTTTGTACATAAGGATGATTCATCGTGAACATGAACCGAAAACGATCAGATAAATAAGATTTAAACCAGCTTAGTGCAGAACCTTTTAGGCCAATTAAGTGTTCCAGTCTCTGTAGCAAAATTTGATGGTCAGCTGTGTCAAACACCGCACTAAGATCTGTCTAATAAAATAAGTACAGAGACGAGTCCTTTGTCTGAAGCAATCAGAAGATCATTTGTAATTTTAACTAGTAACTAACAAAAAAGGCAAGATTAGATATTGGTCTATAGTTGGTCTATAGCCCACCCTGGATCTCTGGATCCAGGGTGGGCTTTTTTAGGAGAGGTTTAATTACAGCTACCTTAAAAGACTGTGGTACATCGGCTGTTAATAAAGATATATTGATCATGTCTAATAAGTGAGTGTTAACTAAAGGTGAGACTTCCTTAAGTAGCCTAGTTGGGATGGGGTCTAAGAGACACGTTGATGATTTAGATGAAGAAATCACTGTGGTCAATTGTTGAGGAGAAATCGGGGAGTAAGCAATCTAAATATATATTAGGTCTTACAGCTGTGTTTGAGGGCAGATAGGTACTATCTGAGGACAGGAGGTCATGAATTTTGCCTCTAATAGTTAGAATTTTGTCAAAAAAGCTCATAAAATCATTACTGCTAAGGGCTAAAGGAGAAAAAGAGATCATTGTGTCTCAACGGGACCGACCTGGTTAAATAAAGGCAATAAATAAATAAATAAGGAATAAGGAATCATTTCCTTAAATTTTGCAACAGCATTATCTGATAAACATTTAGTATAGTAACTGTTGCTGAGTGGCATGTAATCGAGTAAAAAGAAATCAAAAGTAATCAAATAATGATCCGATAGCGAGGGATTCTGTGGAAAGATTGTTATCAGTTTCAGTTCCATACGACAGAACTAGATCAAGGGTATGGTTAAGTTAGTGGGTTTATACACCCTGACTGAAGCCAGTGGAGTCTAATAATGAGATAAACGCGGTAGCTAAGGAGTCATTATCAGCATCAACATGAATGTTAAAATCGCCTACAATAATAACTTTATGTGATTTAAGAACTAAACTGGATAAAAACTCTGAGAATTCAGATACAAATTCAGAATACGGGCCAGGAGCACGGTACACTATAACAAATAAAAATGGCTGCGAGGTTTTCCAGGTCGGATGTAAAAGACTAAGAACAAGGCTTTCAAATGAATTATAACCTAGTTTAAGTTTAGGGCTGATTAACAGACTAGAGTTCATCTTGACACAGCCAGATTTCAGTGAGGCTGAATAAATCAATATGATTGTCTGATATTAATTCGTTTACTAGTACTGCTTTAGATGTTAGAGACCTGATATTTACTAACTTACTTACTTTACTTCACTAACACATCTATGTCTTCCAAAAATGATTATTAATCTGTTATTGCCATCTTCCCAGTTAGCATGTTGGTGATTCTTTATCAGTCTTGTTCATTCCTGTCGTAGTTTTCTTACTTTTTTGTCTCGTTTCCATCATTATTCTGCTATCTAACTGCTTTTAGTATTAAATGGTGTTTATTATTAGCGGGATATATTAGAATTCTTAAAAGTCAGAGGAGACCGTGGTCTAAGCTGCCATCGCAGGTGGTAGTGGAACACTGGAAATTTTTAGTGTCAATGATTTTTTTTTTTTTTTATTGTTGTTGTTTTATT